TAAAAATCATCTTCAGCCACAGAAACCCAGTGGGACCTGCTATCCCAGTTCTTCAAACCTCGCTCACACTCCATTTTCATATTGTGTCTGTCATAGCAATTGCAAGACTGGAGTTTTTTTGGGTCCCCCCACCACCCCTCGAAATTAATGATAAGCTCAGCCACGGCCCTGTCTTGTCTCTTTGTATGCCTCAAAGAGTGCCATCAAGGACAGACAGTTTTTCGAAATACATTGTTACAGTCCTGTTTATTAGGACCAGTGCAGGGATGAGTTATGTCGGGCCTTAAGAAGTGGAGACAAATAGATTAGTGAATTTCTCATCTAATTAGCAACCAGAACAGCATTCATGTCAAAAGCCCACAGAGATCTTGAACAGAAGTGTCTTGCACTCAGTATTATGGTACTGAACATCTTGTGTGTGTTCTAATTGTTCTGTCTTTGCTCCCTGCCAGTGTTGAGACATGTGTGTGTGTGTGTGTGTTTGTGTGGGTGTGTGTGTGTGTGAAAGAATGCTGCAGTATAAAGCTTTGGCTGATTCAACACACCAACACACATCATTAGTTCATGACCAGATGTAGTGGGTGTATGGGCTTAATTTGATATGTAAAAGCACAGAGTAAAAGACAAATCTTTGTAGACTAAAACTCTGTGCCTGAAATCACATCTTCAGTCTTCATTCACTATTTACTAGGCAGACTGTTCTGTACTGGGCAGCAGCAGGAGAACAAGAAAACAGACTGTTCTATCGAGTGCACCGGAGACTTTCAGGAGGTGGAGGGAGATGAATGCAAGTGCAAGCCATTTATTAACAATCCAAATCAGCAGACGAGCTTGTGGTCAAAAACAGAGGTCGAATGTCAGGCAAACAGAGCAATGCAGGGCAGTCAAAAATGAAAATGAAGGGCAGAAGTAAAAAGTCAAATCCCAGGAGTAACAAACAGACAACAAAACACTGGAGGCTCTTGAGCAGCTCAACAGGAAAGTGTGTGCCCTATCATAAAGAGACCACAAGTTCAAATCCATCCATGGCTAGGGGCTAAAGGAGCAAAATTGGCTGTGTTTTGGAGGGATGCCATCCTCTCTTTAACTTGTCAATTATGATGACACAAACCAATTGCGGATTAGCCATTTCTGAGCTCATGTATGTGAAGAAAGCAGATAGCGCTTTCCTCCAAGTGTGTTACGTTGCGCTGTGACACAGCATGATGCAGATCGGAAAGATGCAGTTGGCTGACTTTACATGTCTCAGAGGAAGTATGTTAGCTTTGGGATAGTCTCTAGGCTCCCTGCGACCCTGTGTAGGATAAGTAATACAGAAAATGGATGGATGGTTGGTAGTTTACATGTGATAAAGGAGAGATGGATGATGGGTGGAAATTGACCAAATTGTGGAGAAAATGGAGGGAAAAGTTTAAAGAGGTGAAGGAACTGGTATAAATACATGGCCGTCTATGAAGGTTAGCAGAAAAGTGAGTCTAACTGGCAGGAGAGTGAGACCAACATAATATTTGGACTGGATTAGTAGTGGATTTGGAAACACATTATCATCACGACGTCATCTCCTAATCCACAGATTCCCAACCCTTCTCATAGAGTACCCTATACATTTGAGTGTTTTCCATGCTCTAACATATAAGATAATTATCTGATTGGGAGCAGGAAAAACTCAAATGTGCAGGACAAGTATCTACTCACTGATCAAGGTTGGGAATCGGATGCCTAAACAATGCAACAATAACATTTGTTATTTATATAATTGTGTATAATTGTATTTATAAACAGAAGTAAAAACAGAGAAAAATAGAAATATTCAAAACCTTTGTACAGAATAGACCATTAACAATTGCTTGTTTGCTTCTGTCATTATTAAACAACCTTTATAATTTTACATTTACTGTATATATAAAATTGGCCTGGCAAGTAAATTCAGGGCTAAAAGAAGACATTATGGAGAACCAGCATGTCCTGGTACCCTGGTTGTACACAAGGCTTACGGTGCACTGTGTGTAATAATATACTGAACTATTTAATTAGAACATTTGGTCCGCACTCCAAAATGTCTGACACCCAAATAGTGCACTATAAAGTAAACAAGGAACAAACATGCACACAGCAAGACACTGAGCATTGCTCAATGCAGCCAATGGGCTGTGACCACTCTAATCTCACTACTACGTGCCGGTTTATTCTAAATGAAAACAACAGATCCATTTAAGAAAATAATGGAAGCTCGCCTCATGGCAGCATATCGATTTACCATTTTTGACACGGCCAAGCTTTAGTATGTGCAGATGAGACCTGGATATTACTAGCCCCGTCTTATTCCAGAGTGAGTGCACCAATCCATTTTGTTCTCAATCAATCAGAAAAAACTAAGAGGTGTGTGTGTGTGTGTGAGAGAGAGAGAGAGAGGGGGAGGCTGTGTCCGAATATCCCTACTACCCTACTGTACAGTAGGGGAAAAGCAGTATGTCAAACGAGTAGTATTTCCGAATTCTCAGTATTCATAAATCAGTAGGCGAGAAATACCCGGATGACCTTCTGCTTCTGCAGAGATTCTGCAGTATGGAAGCAATAAACACTGCACTATCCCAGAAGGCAACGGGACTGAAATGTGGAAGAGTTTCAAAAATGCGAATCAAAAATGGCGCAACTTGCAAGCGCAAGTTGTAGGTCACATGACAATGCCAACTTGGCGGAGGTAGCATGTCCGGATCGTATTCATACTACACACATATTCTGATCAGTACGTACTGTATCAATGGCTTTAGGCATTGAATCGAATGCAGTAAGTACTGTCACAGTATACGATTTCACACGCAGCCAGAGAGAGTATGTTGCACACGGAGGAGCCAGGGAGAGGAAAAGGGGGCGGAGATTATCATCATTGAGTCATGCACGTCTGTTTCTCCACCCGCCTACTCTTTGGTTGGAAAAAACTATCAGTTACAAAAGTTTTCAGTCCCTTTCAGGAGTGTAAACTTGAACATGTAAGCTGAACTTGTATGCCCAGCCTTTGCCTTTATATCTTTCTTTATTTTGAAACCTTTTCTTTTGTGTATAGATTTTGGATCCTCTCAGCTGTAATATTCAAACCTAAATCTTCTTGACATTTCGAAGTCTTCAGCTGGGTTTTCACTATTTTATGCCCAATTTTTCTGTCGCATACAAAAATCAAACACTGTAAAAAACAAAACAGAACAAAACAAAAAAAAGTATATATATATAATATAACAGCCCTTTGGTCGGGAATTGAGATTGATGCTCTTAGAATGCGAGCGATTTAGTGTCATTACACCCAAGGACAGTCAATTATGTCCAAAATTTCAAATTAAATGATGCTCTTCTTAAAGCCAGCAATAGCCTTCAGACCATTACTCCAAACACAGGGGACAGCTACAAATACTGTAGTGGCAACGGTGAAGCATGAAACACTTGTGTGTTTCGGTTTATGCGAAATTTTCGGCACGAGCCCAGATCACACTAATTGATGACATAAGCAAATTATACACTCTGTTCTGCAAAGAATTCTCTCAGATTTAATAATCTTAATCTCAAATTGCACAGTGTAAACTAGCTTTCTGCAGATCTGGTTTAGAGACGACTTCTTTTTTTTCTTTCTTTTTTTTCTTTTCAAAGTATTTTCTGTGATTATTTATTGTGTTCTTCTTATGTTTCTATTTAGTATGATTCTGTTTTGGTCCATTCTCCACCCCTGCCACATCACTGGTCAATTCCCTGACTGTGTTCACCTCTTCGTGTGTTAGTTCTTGACTAGTTTGCCTCTTAATATCCTCAATATGTTATTGTTTGCTGTTCAAGTCTTACCACACAAGGCCGGTTTATACTTGATGCATGATTTTGTGTGCATTGTTCACATACTTGGTTGCATATCTTATGTACGCTTGGAGGATGAAAAGTGACGTCAAATAGATAACATGTCAGAGCCAAAATATCCTTTTCCATCTGGACTGTTAAACTGCATTATTTCATGGTTTCGTGCACAGCGACGATAAACACACTCACAAACGCCGTTATCATGATTGGTGTCAATAACTTAAGTCTAAGCCATGTTTCCCATGTTTTGTGTTCTTTGTTTCTTTATACTTCCTGGTTTAACACCTAGTCTCCTTTCCTCAGTTCTGTTTAATGGACTGCTCTTTATTAAATATGCCTGCTTGTGCTCAGACCTTTGCTATGGACTGAGTTTAAAATTGTTGTATTTAAAAGCACTTTTGTCCTGACACACTCTGTACGCACTACACATTTTAGATGCGCTCCATATTAGCACAACATCATCTTCATTGATATGTGCGAACACTCCATTCTGTCCTCATGTTCATAGGCTCCTTTATTCTTTGTCAGATGTCCATGTCTTCTGTTTACCCCTGCAGGCATTGCTGTGTGCGTACATCTCGCTGCTTTCCTGATTAACGTGGAGGTGATAGCTGACATCAACAACCACCACCACCACCACCACCACCTCTTTAATCCACCCTAATATGACACACACACCCACCCACACACACACACACACACACTTTTACACTTGGCCCTTTCTTAAGCCAGCACCCAGGTGCTGTGTGATCAGATTGTGTACATACGGAGCAGAGCTTTGATGGTGAGAAATCCTCTGGAAGATAATGAGCTCTACACAGCCGCACTAGAGAGACATGTTGGATTTTAGAGTTTACTCAAGCTGCATTTGGACGAATGAATGCACCACCCTTGCACAAATCTCCCACACAACAAAACTCCCAATGCATAACTATGTATTCAGCACCAAAATCAAACCTATTGATATGCCAGCACTTTTCTGTTTATGAAAAAAGCTATTAGTTGTCTTTGTTTTGAGCTGAACTTTAACAACCCTCTGACTACCTAACGCACTTGAATGGAATGATTCTGTTCCTCTATTTACGGTTTCACTATAAAATATGAGTATAAGGTATGTTTAAAAACACATTTTGTTTTTATTGGTCTAAAAGTGTCTTGGGAGGGGCATGGTAGCCTAGTGGTTAGCGCATTTGCCCCGCACCTCTGTGGTTGGGGGTTCAAATCCCGCCTCCACCCTGTGTGTGCTGAGTTTGCATGTCCTCCCTGTGCTACAGAGGTTTCCTCTTGGTACTCCTGTTTCCTCCCCCAGTTAAAAGACCTGCACTGTAGACTGATTGGTTTTTCCAAATGGTCCGTAATGTGTGTGAGGTTTTTCCCTGTGATGGGTTGGCATCAACGCTTGTCTTGTGCCCCGAGTTCCCTGGGATAGGCTCCAGGCTCCAACCCTGTGTAGGATAAGCGGTATGGACGGATGCATAGATGAAGGTGTCTTCAGAGAGTCACGAGAGTTTCAGAGAGTCATGTGAACAGCACATGGTGTGAAATGTGTGCCTGTAGTACTGTGGTTGTGAAAATCACAGAGCTTTTAGACATGTTCTGGTGTGAGATGAGAAAAGCAAGCCATTTTTGAATACGCAATCACGACCACATTCATACAAGAAATCAATGTCAGCACCTTCCACAGAATAAACATCGCAAGGTGGACTTTTTTATTAAGAGTTAGCAGAAAGGAGTAACTATACTGTTATCGATTAAATGTGTGTAAAGTGAAAACGTACACACTTCCATGTTATCTGTTAGTGAAAGAGGTAGCCAAAAGCAAACATCAATGTAGTGGTTTAGCTAATGTCCATTTAGCGATTTTACTGCAGTTGAGGTTGTGTGAATAATTCAGCCTTTATAACTCTCTTTATGGGCAAGAACAGGAGAGTTTAGGAAAATAGAGCTTTAACTAACTTGAAAATGATATTAAATGGTGCACTTATATTATTAGGATTTGAAATGTCTTGAAGTCTGCTGTGTATGTGTGAGTGCCAGTGTTGGGTACGTTCCTCAAAAAAAGTAATCCACTACACATGACTAACTACTACTTTGAATCTCGTTCAGCGAAATGAACCAAATTTTTTTCGAGTCATTTCGTTCATTTCAGCAGAATATAATTAAAATGTTACATGTTAAATTCCCCGACAAATCCAGTACTTGATCACGTTTGGAATAAAAAATAAACTATAGGCTAATGCAGACTAGGCAGAATTATAAAAAACAGAAATTATTAATTAATAGCTTAACATTAGGTCTTCAGGCTATGCAGTCTGTTAGCTCACCTCACCTCCCGATCCAAGTTGTTCTTTCTTTTGTCACGTCACATTTGTCACGTCTGTTCCCCGGAAATATTAGTTCACTTCTCGAGTCTGGATTTGAGTCGTTCTTTCATCACGTGACTGCCCCATAGGCTGAATGCAGTGGGGCTGTGACGTAATGACAAATGACTCAAACCTGGAGGCTCGAGAGGTGAACTTATCATATCTGTTTCCTGTACAGGACTTATGGGGATGTTGCAGCGCATGCGCAGTCAAAAATGAACGAATCGCTCTCTGAGACAACTTGTGGTTCCAGAGTCATATTAAAGATTTGAATCATTCGTGAACGACACATGACTATTTTTCATGCTTTCTTTCTTATTCTATGTCTGTGCATGTCTGTGTGCATGTGTGTGTGTATGTGTGCGGCTCATTACCCAGAATCTGCCTGATTATGAGAGACTGAGAGTGGAAATTGAGAGTGAGAGCAGAGGTGCAGTGAGGAAAGGTCTCTGACATTTGGCTCAGTGTTTTGATGTTTTATTGCTTCTAAAGTAAAGACGCCTGTTAGTGGAACACCATGAAGGGTCCTTAAACTCACACCCTCCGTTTTTCTCTCCGTGTCTGAATCTCTACAGACTTAGAGTCTCTGTACACTGAGTCTCACTGCTCCATCATTTGGCTAAGGTCTCCTTCCCCTGTATCTGTCTTCATCCTTGGTTTTTTATGACACTCCCCAACACAGTGCTGTGAAACACACATATAGGCTAACCTGCTTAAATCAGCTGCTGCTCTGCTGCTTGTATGCTGAACAGATGTGTGTGTGTGTAGTTTGGAAAGTCTTCTCTGATAACATCTTTCAGCATTAAGTATAAATCAGCTGTTTGTATTTCAGTGGATTTAGTAGATTTTTATTTTAGCTGTTTATATTTTACACCCTACCAAGAACCGAAGATCCTGAAATAAGTCTGTCGGTGCCTCAGTGACTACTTTGCTCAAAATGTCATGATATGGTATCAAATAACTAACTAACTCAAACTTATTTAAGAAACAAACACTTGAACTTACATCAGTTGGTGTGGCTTAGGAGGCTGATGCCTTATCCATTAGGCGATCATTTGGCGACCACGAAGGGACTGGGCTAAGATCTATATTGTGTCCGTAATCTCTCCTGTGGGACTTCACTCTCTAAGCAACGGATAGGCTGTGTAGGAAAAAAAATTATTACAGAAGCCTGTTACTTCGAAGTTCTGTCTTAGTGATCTGTTGCCACGAGTGGGAAGCCCTGGGGTGGGAAGACGGGCTAAATTGGTCTCCAAAAGAGCCTTGAGTGAGTGAGAAAAGGTAAGAGAAGTGTAAATAGATTATATAAGGTTGTTTTAATGAAATTGTATATGTATTGTGTGAGCAAAAGTCCTGCAATACCGCTGAATGTAGAAAAATTCAGGGCCGGATAGGAAGCAGGTGTGAAAAAGTCCTGTAATACCGCTGGATGGGAGTAGTTTAGATTAGAGAAACCATTCAGGGCTGCAATAGGAAACAGGTGACCTGGATGAGAGGCCTCAAACCTCTGATACCGCTGGATGTAGTAAAATCCAGGTCTGGATAGAGAGGGGACCCCTAATACCGCTGGATGAAGTAGTATAGTAGTATAGTAAAATCCAGGTCTGGACAGAGAGAGGTGTAAATCCTGGGCCCAGGTCCGGGTCACGCAACTCAGGGAAAGGACCTGACAAGAGAAGCGTGCCCGGTGTGTAATGTGTAATATATGTGTGTTTATAAATATGCTGTATGCGTGTATACAGATAAATTGGAAGCTCTGAAACTTAGGTTTGGAGAAGAGAAAAATGTATTCATTAAGTGCTCTGAACATGAGCTCCATACATAAGGAGATATATATGTGTGATAAGCTTTGAACATTAGTTTTGGTTGAATGTTGCATTTAATTTAGATGACTGTAAGCTTCATACTTACAGGGTGTGAAGATTCTTTATTCTCTGAAACCACAATTGTGTTGTGTGTGTAATAATAATGTAAATATGTTTAATGTATAATGTAAATATGTGAATAGTGTGAATATAACCTGTGTATGTGAGCTCACGTGTGTGTGTGGAGACAAAACATTTTTTTGTTTTGGAGACGAAGGCCTTGTGTGTGTGTATGTGTGTGTGTGTCCTTATCTGCTTAGGAGTCTGTGAGTCTGTATAAATTCTAATGTTATGTGTGTGCGTTCTTCAGATTGAAATGGGTAACGCAGGGCATTGTCAGATATCTTTGTTTCTGTCATGGAAGGTTTCTTTTGAATCTGGCATAAACTTTCTGTGAGTCGGAGTCTGTGAGACTGTGAGTATTGAAATTACATTGGTATATGAATATTTAAATTTTTTGATATGTACCAGATTGTTTGTGGTATAAATAAGTATTACTAGATGGGAGATAAAAAGTAGTCGACACAGAGTGTTTTCTTGTTGTCTATATTGTTCATTTTATTCAGTGCTTGTCTATAAATCCTGCAGAGATGTCAGGTATACTATTTGTAGTATTTTAGTAACTTTTGTTATACAACTTGAAGTTTGGAAGCTATAAAAAATTGTGTTCATAATTATGGTAATTAAGTACATAACACGAAAATTTCCTTTTAAATAATGTGGGAAAAAGCTAGTTGGAACAACCTGATGAGTAAACACGTAAAAAAAAAAAAAAACTAAAAAAAAACCTTGTGTTCATTATACAGATCATTAAATGAGCGGTAATTAAAAATACATTTGAGTGTAGAGGAAAAGGTGATTTCTCCAACTCAGTGTAGTTCGTTGGTTGAAATTAATTTAAAGTTGTCATAGCTCATAAATGATTGGTGGTTTGCAAAACTGTCTGATTAAGAGAGTGTTGTGTGGTCATATGAATGATTTCTGCATGATGGTTATAACCGGTGATGAATGATTAGTAAGATCAGATGGCAGTAGTAGTCTGCACATTTTAAATTCGCTGTGAGGTATTGTACGCCGTTACAGATATAATATCTGATATGATATCTTACATAATTACAATTATAATTACAGATATAATATCTATAATGAGTCCATAACATTAGAAAAATGTGTTGATTACTTAATGTGGAATTCGGGTTTTGCAGGGAGTACGAGTATCTGGATTAGGCAGAGTTGCATAATGGTTCCTTTCACTGACATGTTGTGATGATGTGAGTTTGTGAATTAGTTTAATTACTGTCTCTTTGCAACACTGCAGTTTTAAGTGATTTTGTTTCTTTGTTTCTTGTAGTCCATGGCAGCCATGTTTGTGGACTGCATTGCAGGATGGGAAATGTAGTTTGTGACATGAGTAGATTTAACACTACCTTACTACCTTAATATGGTCAAATACAGTTTAAATGAAATGGACACATTTATAGAGGGAATCTTATGCCATTCATAAATGGGCACTCAGCCAAGGAAACAGATCAATATCCACCTAATTCCTCCTCTATGTGTCTAGGTGCCCATTTATTGGAAAGTCTGGATTTGGATTGGAGCACCCGCCACCATATTGTGCATCTCACTGCTGATTTTCAATAAAATTACCTATTACTCCTACTCAGTCTCCCTTACGTTTATTTTATGTATATTTTTAACCACAACATTTCCCACTCTGGGAAAAAGTGTTAAATTGAAAGAAAAAGACGAAGTTAAATACATATTTGCATTACTCCTAATTAGATATATTTAAACAAAGTGAACAAAATTTAAATGTCATGTATGAAGGGTCGGTGTGATAAGATTATAAAGATTATATATATATAAGATTACAGTTATAAGATAAGGGAAAAATAGGGTGTATGCATGTCTACCATTTAGACATAAAAACAAATTCACTAGGTTGTTTTGAATAAAAAGTAGCGAGATAAGTGAGACTTATCTCAACCCCGTTTACTCTGTTTAT